GTTCAGGCTTTTTTGGAATTCCTTGAAATCGTTGAAATTACTGGAATTTGAATCATTTCCGTAAACTTCAAAAATATGCTTGAGAAAAATTTCGGCCACATGGTGTCGACAGGCCAGTGCCAACATATTTTTGCCCAGAAGCTTGGGCTACACAGCTACGTTGTGTTCCGAGTTTACCGTAGTTGTATCGAAGCACGTAGCTGACACTCGCTCAACTATATCCCAATCTTCGATGACATCTTTTATTGCCGTTGCCTCGATAAACGCTGTCCCTTTCCAAAGGGCTGGGACGGTCAACAACTTGTACATGTTTTCACCGGTTACCAATAGTGGTAGGCAATCTACTTTCTTCTCATTTAAGCCCGGCAGAAGCTTACCATCCCAATGAACGGTAAGTGGAACGTTCGGTTCGAAATGGGCTCGAAACTGACAAGTTTACCTATTTCTTCGGTCAGCTTCTCATGATCTTTCATACGATGGCGTCTAATCGAGCTGTAGTTTACAGCATAATTGTTTTTGGAAGAGTCGATAAGTTTATCGTTGATGAGTGCCTGCCCTCATTGCCATGTGATGAACCCGGTTCTGATGTTAGATTATGGAGCAGTATATCTTCCGTTTCACCACTGATGTTTGCAGCATCATGTTTCTACCAGAATATAATGTACTGCCAATTTAGATTAACAGTAAAAATGATTATAATACTATCTCTGCTTGGTGAATCAATGTACAGTTCAATTGTCCCGAATTGTTACGAATGAATTGCTGTCGCCGGTAGATGTCACTCGCGTTATTCCCTGTTTTAATTGATTGTAGATCTATAAATAAATAGTTTATTATGTAATATGTTTCACAATACTTATATGCAACTACATACATCACCAGATCACAAAAAGCCGATTAATCCTCTCTTTAACTGCATCACTTCGCTTCAGGTTATTCACTGGCAGGTTCCCGACTTTTTTTAGTCATTACTGAGAGACTTTCTATAATGGAAATCATGTCAACAAGTCGGGAAAAGAAGAACACCTGCAATGTCTCTCTATTGGTCGGAGTCTTCTGCAAAACAAAGTCTGCTTTCACCGGACCCACGAGGAACACATTCAAGTTAGAACACAACACCTTTTTTTGTACCCATGTCTTCGTGATTGACATATTGAAAACAAAAACATTGGCTTGGCTTACTAGCGATAATTTTTTCATACCAGTGTTGGCAGATAAACAAACTAATAAATAATGAGTGGAAAAGTTAGGGTTATTGATCTTATTTCTGTCGTACTATGCACAACCCGCACTTTACCTCTCTTTTCTGATGAACGGGTTTGAACAAAAAATGGAATATTTCTTTCAAAGATGACTTCTAAATTTATTCACCTTTCCATACGTACCATACGATTTGATAAAGAGTCACAAATTGTTGAGATATTGTTTAAAATCTACTACTGCTTCTTGATTCTAAATTCGTCCTACGAGTTTCAATTTCATCCTAACGCATTGAAACGCCATTAGATTTTCTTCGTCCTACGGATAAATGTATAAAAGGGGATTCGCTAGGAGCGCTTCTTTTGTTTTGAGAACAATGAGCGTAAATATTCATACAATGGGCTCTAATAGGATTTATGTTGTAGCTAATGAACTAACACCTCGGAACAAACCTATTATTGATTTGTGCACGGTGAAATCATTGGTATTATTGATCTTTTCTGATTGATAGCGCTCTACCCTATGTCGTTAAGTTTTATAGAATAATAATTTTTCTATAAGTCCTACAAAATTTGGAACTTCAACATAGTTGTAGCTGAGCAAGATTTCTATACGTGCGAATAACGAATATGCCGTCAAAGCACCATGCAGGATGTTTAGAATGATACGAACGAAAAACTTGATCTTCCCATAGTAATTTCCATATGAATTTCAAATGGTTTGTGCGAAGTCAGGGCTCAAATTTTGGCAAGCTGATTAGGACCCTATATGGAACCGTTTAAGATTTGTGGAGCGAAAACTTCCAAATTTGAATCAGTCTAAACAGGTATAATACGCCTCCTTAACTTCATTTTGTCCATGATTTTTCGGGGATTATGCCAAATGATCAGTTGGAAAAAATATATGGTGTTATATTACGTGCCAAAAAGGACAAAATTATCATTAATACAGTGCAAGAACTGACATTACGCTGCATTTATTGCATTTGATTATTTTTGTGGCCATAAAAATTAAATGCGATTTTCGACATGATTGAAGTTCATTGCATTGAAGTGAATAAGAAGTCCTTAATAAAATAATCCAAAATTGATGGAAATTCATTCCATTTGTAGAAATTCATTCCATTTGTAAAACTGAAAAGTCATTCCTATATTTTTCATCAACTTTTTCCTGAAAAAGTCAGGAGCTGTATATCCTGAAATGCTGAAATTTTAGCCGTCACAATTTTTATGCCATGAAAATTACTGCTAAATCATGAAAAAATAATAATTATATCCATAATTTCATTGAATGCAGTGTTGGGAAAATATCAAAAAATCAAATCTCATCAACGCCCAAGATCACGCTTGATTTTCGTAGACAAAAATCAACAAGCAAACAACTGCGGTTGATTTTGCAAGCTGTAATATCGCAGTTCGGAACATTAAGCTAACAAAACTCACCAATTGCAAATCTCACCAAACTGAGGTGAGATTGATTTTAATGATTTTTGCTTTACTCCCGAATGCAACCGAAACTTCCATAACAGCTTGCAGCAGTCCCTCGCGTCTGCCAGCGGTGAAGATTAAAAAGAGATAACAAACTATGCTTTCTCTTTCTAAAAAAAACGATGTGCAATGAATGGAATCATTTTTGTGTCGCGCGGTGTCGCGTCAACTCTCAGCTTGATTTTTGCACGTTGTGATTAGTCTCGCAATATCAAAGGAGGTTGTAAAATCAATATCAAGCATGGTATTTTGTTCCAATATCACGCGTAATATTGCGAGCGCATGAGAGCGGAAAAATATCAATTGATTTCTGATTTTGACAACACTGATTGAATGTGTTAAAAGTAGTCTTTGGCGAATAACTTTAAAACAAAACAAAAATCGACATACGCGAAACCTTCACCATTCGAAAGTAGGCACTTTTCCCATTATTTTTACATTATTACTTAAATTTTTCATCGGGGTTCTGGAACAACAATTTATTTATTTTTTTATTTACAACGATCCATACAAAAAGCTCCTAAAAAATAGACATAAACGCTCAAAATGACCCATATTTTGTGTGAAAAAGTGCTCCGATGAAAAATTTAAGTAATAATTTCAAAATGACGAGGAAAACCCTGGGCTTTGGCAAAACCTTGAGGTAGCTTAATTAGGCTACCAGGTCCCAGGGCTGATCTGGATCTTTACCACATTGGAAAGATGCACACTAGTGTTGCCAGATCAGTGTTGATGCTTACCAAAAGTGCATTTGAACCCGCTTTTATAAAAGCATATAAACAGATTAATCATCACCGTACATTGTTTATTGCTCTGTACTAATAATAAATGATTAAGCACAGCATTTGATATTTCAGTAGAATTGCTGGATTTAGTCGTAGTGGAAATCATTTGTTTTTTAATCCATCCTTCATTGAATTGGATTTATTTCTATGGTATGCACGTTTGGAAAGTATCATCACAAAGATTCTGCACTCGATCTACAGCTTGTGGGCGGGAAGCGTTGTGTTTGTTTTTGTTTTTTTTCTATTTATAGAGTCAATTCTTAGAAATACGAAGCGAAAGACACAGTAAGCATTAAGCACAAAACCTTCACAACAACACGAAGTCTGGAAATGGCAATGTTTCATTCAAAATGTCAAGTATTTCAAGAATATCGGGTGAGACCAATCGGACCGAGCGCTCTTTCGGTCATGTGGAAGGGTTGTGCACGAGGGGTGATTTTAATCCTCCCAGTTTTGAAGACCTTCCGGAGCGAGGATCCATTATTTTGTGTCAGAAGGATGATGGAAGTGGCATATCCAGAATCACAATATGTACAACAAGAGAAGGAAGTAGTATTGAAGGTAAACAAGGAGTACATGGGAACGACGAAAACTGTAAGTATACTGCGATCTATTCTAGTACTCTTGTATAAAACCTATTGTAAACCGGCTAGATCGTAGTAGTCGTCACCGGGACGCATAGTCATGTGAAGATTGCCAGATCCGTGACCATAGAGGGTTGATTAGATGTAAATTGCTTTGAAACACCCGCATGAACGATAACCATAAGAAGTGCCTAACAACCTATTCGGGTTATCATCCCAACAATATGTGGTGCGGTGGCACGATTTGTGGTATGTATGGTGCTCCCCCACCCTTTATTAGGGTCGCTGACGCTCATTGCACGCTCTTTCGTTCTCCGGCTGATTGAATGGATGACGGAGTTTGACGTCACACTCCTTCAGACGTTTAGGCGGCGGGAGGGCAAAAGGGATGGCTGTTCAGTACACGGAGACAATTTTACAAATGTATTTCTAATAGGTAAATCACAGTTTAAAACTCACTAATAATCTCTTTCAATCTCTTTTAATTTCTTTTTCATTGACGGTGTGATGTAATCGATGCGCTATGTGACGAGAGTGCAAACCAAACGAGGTCATTTTTCAACGATACGATAATAACTTATGCGCTTTTCACACAAAACCTACCCAACCCTTTCCTTTCTACAATCCCTGAGCAGCTGGTTTACCATAAGTATACCTCGCAGAACTTTTTTAACCCCCATGGGTAAAGATGCTGTGTTGCTCACTCCTATCCCCTTCTCAGGTGTATTATGGATGGTGTGAATATTCACACCGGTGACATGGCCCCTGACCCCCTTGTACATCATAAAATGAAAATGACGAGGAAAGCGCCCTCTTTCCTGAATTTCCGATTTTTTTCCTTTTAAAGTTATTCTAACAAAGAGACCGTACGTTATGTTTAGACAAGATAACTGTGAGAAAAATTAACCAAAAGATAGCATAAATTGCACAATACAAATACTCACCACAATTAAGAACTACAAGAAGTCCATCCTTGTTGCCCAGTAAAAGTTGGCTCGTACCAGGAATAGATTCAATAGCTGTGATACGGTTCACACACTTTCGAATCACCCAATACTGGCTTGTAGTCAAGTTGAACACAAACAAGTTATCCCTGGAAGACGTAAATTAATATCAACTAAAAAAAAAATCACATAATAAATCAGTACAACCTGTGATCAACCGCAATAAGTTTTTCATTATTATGACTGAAGCAAACGTGGATAAACCGAATTCTCATAACGCGCCCATTGTGCGATATTGTGTGATGAATATTGAGTAGTATTCTATAAAGAAGCAAAACAAATACAAAAATAATCATTATTATTTTTTATAACTAACCAAAGAAATTTAACATTAGGGACTGTTTATAAACTACGTAGACAGTTTAGGAGGGGTTGACAATTATCCACGGCCCAAACAAATTTAAAAAATTGTAGGGTCATTTGTCTACGCAAGGGGGTGGTCAAGAATCCTAAAAAAACCGTCTACGTAGTTAATGAACAGCCCCTTATAAGTCATTCGTGAGTCATCCGGAGTTGGGAGGATGTGAGTGCAGTCAGGTCAGATGCAATTGAAACCTATTCAAGTTCCGCATGCGGTGATTAATTAAATTTAAAAAATATTTTATATATTATATCGATTTTTGCTTGTGGGTTTTTTCCAGTTTTCAACTGTAGCGGCAATAATATGAGATGCACACTCATGGCTGTAAGCTCCAATCGGTATTATCCTCGGATTAAATCCCGATCAAGAATGTCCGGCTGCTTTGATGTCGACATCAGAGTTATTCAACACGATGCTATGCAAACAATTCGCAGATCATCCAAACAGGGACGGTATTAAAATTTAATCCGAGTTGGAGCTTACCGCCATCAAAGAGAAAAAATAAATTAGACATAGGGGCTGTTCATAAACTACCTACACAGTTTAGGGGGGTGGCATTTTCCACGGCCCATATAAATTTTAAAATTTGTGCATGATCAATGTCTACGCAGGGGGGGGGGGGCGGTCAATAATCCCAAAAAACTGTCTACGTAGCTAATCAACAGCCCTTTATTTATATGCAAAATCCAGCCTCGCCGGTTTCACTCATGCGATGCAAATAAAGTGGAATAGCACTGACTGGCTTGTATATTTTAAAATCGTTAAATGTTACATTCGACATGCAATAAACTTTAAAATACTCACATGTTTTTGCACCTACACAGCAAAAAAAATGTAATATCGATCAATGTAATTCAAGCTGATGTATGAAATAATGATGTAATAGCAAAGAGCAGATACAATTTTACATCAATGACGATGGATTGACCTGGTTGCAGCAGTTTGGATGTAATATTCAACAACTTTTTTTTCTGTGTAGGAACATATCAATTTAATTTTACGGAATCTTTTCATACCTCAAAGGCACCCGTGTGCTTCTAATATCTTGAACATATCATTCAGAAACAAAGCTAATTATTGAGGGCCTCCCACATTAGATCAGATCCGGATCAGACGCGTTGCGGACAAATTTATTGTCTTACTGTCCAATTTCGTCAATGCAACGCAAACGGATCTATTGTGGATGGTTAGCGGCGCCGGTGGTGTAGTGGTAAGCGTTATTGCCTCTCATCCCATATGGTTTCCTGGGGAATGTTATAGAATCTAATAACATGTCTTGTAGGTACTTTGAGATAAATAACTCCAACAAGGTGACATACATACATACGTACAACAATAATAACTCTAATAACATGTCTTGTCGGTACTTTGTAGGTCTTTGAGATAAATAACTGCAACAAGGTAACGTCCATATATAATCAATATGAATCAGCGGAATCAACATCAACAATAATAAATATTATAGTATTGAACGATACTTACCCGCCATTGCGCTCTTTAAATTTAAATTTCACCTTCTGCATGCTATGCACATCATCTGAAACTCCTATCCCATCATTTGTATCACTTTTCATATCCATAGTTCCAGTTGAAACGTTCTTCGTTTATTTCCCGTTTTGTCACAAATATAAACTTTAATTGAAATTGGTGAACTTGCAAACTTTTCAAATAAATACACAAATTTCAAAGTCAAGCGTTATTCACTCTCCCATGCTACGCAACAACAACATAAAAAACAGCTGACGATTTCCGTAGTCATGGCAACAGGTGTTGGTAAACATAAGCCTCTCAAGTACAGAGTGGAATGGAAGTATTTGTACGGAATCTCTTCTGGAACGATTAGGGTGACCATAGAGATTTGGACATTTTTTTATAAATATAAGATACATCAATTGCAATGTTTGCAATAAATAATAAATATATGTACTGATTCTGAACGATACTATAAGGCCATTATAAAATTTACGAGTTACTTTTCGCAGCAGGCTGAAATCTAATGACTTTTTTACCTGCTACGGGATAGGACATGGAATGCTAAAGAAATTACTTTTCCTTAGCATTTCTTGACCCAGTACGCAGTTCAAAAGAAATCGGTAAAGGAAAGATCAATTATATTAGTATCGTGATCGACATGAAGGTGGTGCTCTGAATGAAATGTCACTTTCCTTGCGGAATAATGGTCTGATCAATTATTTCGTTAGGTAATTTTAACGTTTGTTGCAAAGATGATGTTTTGGATGCATTTTAACAACATAAAAACTGATAATTGTTGATTTTAAAATTAGACGACACCCCCCTATGATCTCAAAATTTAGCAGAAAACACCCCAGCTGTCAAATTTCCTTTTGGGAAAAATCCTCAAAAATTACTTTTGCGTTTTCTTTTTAGCTGCGTACCAGGCTTTACTTTTCAGCTGCGTACCAGGCTGAAATCGGTAAAGGAAACCCTAATAAAAATTGTATGGTTAATTTGCTTAACGACGTGTTCTTGGTATCATCCAAACCATTTGTGGAATAGTTCAATGATTTGGATTATCGTTCGTTTATGGTTATTTTTTATTAGGGAAGCTCTATTACCAACAATCAATAAGAAACTATCGATTTTAAATTGGCTCACTACTTGACTAGCCTATTGGGACCCAAGCAAATCGATTAACGTACCCCATTCTAGTCCTACACTATGTTTGTTTTGATTCTCTATGAAAGTTTGACAGATAAAATTAGGGGTTCGTGGATTTTCCTATGTTTCGAGGAGTGCATCGATTAGCTTGGGACCGAAGATAGTAACAGAGCTGAGCCAAAAAGTTGAGCACGTTTCTTCGGGACCTACTAGTCTTAGCGTTAGCTCTATGCTATTATATTAGTATCGTGATCGACATAAAGGTGGAGCATTCTGATTGACATTTCACTTTTCTTGAGGAATATGATCTGATCAATTGGGTTCTTTAATCTTGAAAAAAAAAATATCGGTTTTTATATATCATCTGAAAGAGCTTCGTTTTCTGAGCACAGTGATATTTTTTCGAACCTACACACTTTCATCTCGATTTTTAAATCAAGATTTAAAGCAAAATAATAACTTCACTGTTGAAACACTAAACTGCCAAACTGACAGCTCGCTCTCATACAAAGTGACATCGAGGGGCGCTATTAAGGTGATTTTTGCAAATGTGATCGTACTTATTTAAAATAGTTTCAGTGTACCAAAATTGATGAAATTTTGGGTTTGGGATCCATTTTAATGCAGATTACGAATATGCATGTACCCCAATACCCAAAGAACCCAATTTTTACGTTTGTCACATAACTGATATTTTGGATGCATTTTAACAACATAAAGCCTGATACGCAGCTGAAAAGAAAACGGAAAAGTAATTTTTGAGAAATATTCCCAAAAGTAAATTTGACAACTGTAGGGAGGTGCACATGTCTTTTGCTAAATTTTGAGATCATAGGGGGTGTCGTCTATTTTTAAAATCAACAATTATCAGCCAGTGGTGGCGGGGGGGGGGGGGGCACCCCTCACTATACCTCTCCAAAGGGGGAGTTTGGTAAAGAGATGATAAAACCGATTTGTACCTTCCTAAAAAAGTTGTCCTAGCTCGCTGTCTACTCTCTATATGCAATTTTCACACTGCTGTACTCTAAACGGAACTTTCAATCCTATACTTTCATCTCCTCCTCTTGTATCGTATAAAAATTACCACTTTAGTCTGTTATTTGAAATTAGCATCTTCAACTAAACAATTATCAGTTTTTATGTTGTTAAAATGCATCCAAAACATCATTTTGTCGACAAGCAGATACGTCTATTTGACACTTGGTCCAGATTACTGCAAACCACATAAAAGCTACAGTTTCGAAGAATAAAAAAATACATATACAAAAATTTGGCGGTAAAATTTTTCAAAATATGTTTTATTACAAGCGTCCGAAGTAATCTAATAACAAATCTTTAATTATGACTTGTAATTGACCCTCGTAGCAATATATGAATATAAATATATGAATGAGTACTCGATGCTGTGATATGAGTTGATTTTTACTGCTCCACAAATCCTATTCGCAGAAGAACGTGTTCTTTTCCGAGAGATCAGTTTTGTCATGAGGTGCTTTTTGGAGTGTGTAACGAAATACATCATACGAAGCCCTAGCTATTTCTGGTTCGAAATACACGACAAAACTCTACATCGTCGGCCAATACTTTTGGTCATTGCTTAGTGCGCTAAATTGCTATTCTTATAACTGCAGGTTTCGCTCCTGTTATGCGTTATTTACAAACTTATGTGACCTTATTGTAAGATAGTGTGTGTTTCGATTAATCAATGTGGGATCAGGAATTATTATCACAAGTGAAAGTCTGGTTTCTTGTAATCTTTCTGTCATTTGTCAAGCAATCATCATCTGGGAAAAAAGTTCCTAATAACAGCACCAGCCAGCTCGTTGCTCGTCCGCATGTGCTATGTGTTCTCTACTCCAGGAAGGTGTCTCCAACCGGCCGGTACCGTCCGTCAGTACATTATCACACTCGACCGGTATTCCCATCTGAACAACGCCATTCATACCTGAAATAAAAAAAAACAGAACGTATGTTGTTAGTTGTAGGTACAGGTATTAGTATTTGCCATTAGTATTTTTGGGCGAAAATGAGTAATAAATTGGTATCGATTGTCAAGTACCACTTTACAATATACATGAAAGGTGTCCTACTTTGTTCAGAAAATGTCTATACAATAAGCACTCATACGTCAAATTTTTACCGGAAATCGTAGGTATGACTTTTGAAATCAAAATAGCCTATATTACATGATATCAGCTATACACTGATAAATTGAACTATTCCCATTTTGCTTGAAATTTAATCAATTTTACATTAAACTCAGTTTAATCATATCGAGGAAAGAAATTGATCGAAAGTGTACCAAAAGTGCTTCTGAACGTGTTTCGCATTTGGGAGTGGTGAAATTCGTAAATTCGCGGTTTATGTTCAGTGAAAATTCCGTATCACAAAATTGCTCACCGAGTTCTCTTTTTTTGCCGTTCGACGACGACGGGCATGCGAGAGAAAAATAAGCATCGGGAATGTGCTCCCGAATGTATTGATTTGGTGAGTACGTTCCAGTTGAAGATTTTTCTTATACATATCTCGATTGCATTTTCGAGGGGACGTCCGGAGAGCTTTGAGATTTAGGCGTTGTTGCTTTTACGGGCAGACGAGTTGGTCGCCGGTAAGGGCCAGTAAGTGCTGCCAGCAGATGAATCAAGAGGTATTCGAAACAAAATTGGTAAGAAATGTTCATTCAAATCGATTTAATACAGTTGAACATATTTCAAAACTATATACGTGCCAGATTTGGAAATAATATTTTTTAAATCTGGAAGTGTGTTTATGATACCATTATCCCTTTGATAAAGGTAGAGTGAACATGCGGGGCTTATTGTAAGTAAAAGTGACCTCGGAGTGGTCGTGAATTACCAGGCATTCTGAAATGGGTCACTGGAGCTGCAATAGAGCTAACACCTTCTAACTCTCGGACTAAACCTGCTTTAATTTAAGGGTAATAAAAAGCAGTTTTCTTCCATAATAACACTGCCGGACAGTGGGGGTTAGATTGTACACACACACACACACACACACACACACAAACACACACAAACTCAGTTTAATCATATCGAATGATTAAAAATTAATCCTCTCTTTCTAAAAAATAAGCATCTGATATTAATCCCGTTTAATCATGGTTGATTAGATTGTAGATTATCTTTTTTTGAATATTTTTTAATCATTTTTTATTCTATTTTAAAATTTTTTGATTGAATTTTAATCTTTTTTTATTATATATCAGTATTGAAAAAGAATAAAATAATACTGGAAAGATTATTTCGAGTTTAATCATGCATGACTACTGTCGAAGTAATCATGGCTCGGACTCAATAAGGTAAAGTGGGAAAGTGCATACTTTTCAAGCTTTTTTGATTTAATTTATCTTTGAGTGTAGTCTGAACAAAGTATAAGCAACAATCAATACGAAACTAACAATTTTAAATTGGCTCACTACTTGACTAGTCTATTGGTCCCAAGCAAACGATTAACGTACCCAATTCTAGCCGAAATTCTAGTACTACGCAATGTTTGTTTTGATTCGCTATGAAAGTTTGACAGATAAAATGAGGGTTCGTGGATTTTCCTATGTTTCGAGGGGTGCACCGATTATCTTGGGACCGAAGATAGTACCAGAGCTGAGCCAAAAAGTTGAGCACGTTTCTTCGCGACCTACTAGTCTTAAAGTTACCTCTATGGTAATACTCCGTTATTGCCAGTTCACTTGCAATTAGATAGAAAACCAATATTCATCCTCCTGAATAGAAATTGATGATCTTAATTTACAATGGGCAATGTACATAAACGCATGTTCTTGACAAAAGTGCTTCCTGTTTTTGAGAAGCAGTCTGAGGGGGTAAATATCAGGATTTACCACAAATTAGCAACATTATACCATAACTGATACATGCAGAGGCGTCGCGTGCCTCATTTGTTTACCTGTGCACCAAACTTTGTTTCGAATAGTTTACCACCACATATTTGTTTTTGCATTGAAAAGCTCCATGAATTCGAGGGACATATTCTCAATTACTATATTAATCACTACCTAACGTAAGATTTGAAAACTTTTATGGTCCTTTTCGCGCTAACCGAAGTAAGAGGAATTGCAAAACGTAACTAATTCTCGTTTTTATCACAAGGCCAACTTTTTCGACTGAAGAATATCCGTCAAACACTTCCTAAAACATTTGTTGACACAAAACAGTGTCAAAATCTAGAGAAAATTTATGAAGTCCCCTCGGTAGCAAACTTGAATTAATCAACTCTTTATTAACGATATCAGAATGAACCAGGGGAAGCTCATAAGTTGTGACTGGCGCAACGGCGCATCCATCGGTAATTTGTATAATAAATTATGAGTACATCCAAAAACTATACTCTGTTTCTGTTTTACTGTTGTTTTACATCAACAGGCTGGATGAAGCCCCAATGATTTTAACCTTATCAACTATGTTAAAAAAAATACATTCAAGCATGGTCATAACATAAAAAACATTAAAAAACATAGTCAGTTACTCCTGTCGGCGATAAACAGAAGAAAACTTTCGACGAAGCGCATCACGGGATCGATGAAAGTCGAAAACAGATGCAACTCTGTTGAATGTTCTCTGCAGTCCGCAAATCGCACCGTACGCTCCATAATTTGTGCGACGTAGAGGCAGTCTTAGCATAAGGTTATTACGAAGCGGTCGGGTCGGGTTCAGGTCAATTTGCCTCAGGATAGCCTCACAATCTGTCCTTCCTTGCAGGATATCGGCCACGGTTAGGGCTCTGCTTGAGTCTCTTCTAGTCCGGAGAAGTTCTAGATCGATAAGTTGACAACGGTTTTCGTAACTGGGTAATCGAAACGGATCATTCCAAGGCAATCTACGCAACGCAAAACGAAGAAAGCGACGTTGAACAGATTCAATTCTCTCGGCACTGTTGTTATAGTTTGGGTTCCAAACAGCTGAACAATACTCAAGTGTCGATCGAACAAGCGAACAATAGAGAGATTTTAGACAGTAGATATCAGTGAAGTTTTTAGCTATCCTAAAAATGAACCCTAAAGTTCTTGACGCCTTATCAACAACATATGTGATGTGTTGCTTGAATGAAAGCTGTGAATCCAAGATCACACCCAAGTCTTTCATCTGATTCACGCGTTCGATTGTCGAGCCAAGCAGGTCATAGCTAAATATTATCGGTTGTTGTTTTCGTGAGAACGTAATAGCGGAGCATTTGGCTGGGTTCACTACCATTCTGTTTAACCTGCACCAACTAGCGAATACATTCAGTTGACGTTGAAGAAAGTGACAGTCAGCAATGGAGCAGATTCGTAGGAAGATTTTGAGGTCATCTGCATATGATAACCGAGGAGCTTCGATGACCAGATGCACGTCGTTGAAGTACAGTATAAAAATTAACGGTCCCATGTGGCTTCCCTGAGGTATACCTGATGTGACGAAGAAGCTAGCTGATCTGCAATCTTCTATGGCAACTTTTAGTTGCCGACCGGTAAGATATGATCGAAACCAACTCAGAAGATTACCACATACACCAAGCCTGCCGAGTTTAGCAATCGCAATAGCATGGTTCAACTTGTCGAATGCTGCGGATAGGTCTGAATAAATAACGTCCGTTTGAACCCGATCCGACATGCTTTCGGTTATATACGATGTGAGACACAGCAGATTGGTAGTTGTAGAGCGGCCGACAGTAAACCCATGTAGATCAGCACTCAAATACTGCTTGCAATGGGACAGCAACGGTTCCATAATCACTAGCTCGAATAGCTTCGAAACGGCACTTAACGATGTAATTCATCGATAGTTATCCACAGCTCGTTTCCTTCCTTTTTTGTGGACGGGAAACATGTGCGCAAATTTCCAGCAAGATGGAAATATGCCACCTGAGAGATACATTCGGAACAGGCGAAGAAGCGGAATTAACAAGCTAGCAATATGTCTCTTCAAAAATACAGATGGAACTCCATCAGGTCCAGGATTGAAGGATGACTTGAGCAGAGTCGCAGCCTTAGAAATCATTTCTGCATTAACATCAATTGCACCCAGTGTTTGATCGTTTACTGGAACGTTCCTGCCAGCCAGGTTAATATGGTCGTCAGTTAGTATCTCATTACTGAATACACTGACAAACTTTTCGGAAAAAAGGTGGCATATATCCTGAACAGTGGCAGAAACTTCTCCGTTGAATTCCATAGACGATGAGAGGCTATATTCCCTGCGTTGCTCGTTTACGTAGTTCCAAAAGGATTTCGGGTGTAGCTTAAGTTTGCGCTGAAAGCCTCGTTGGAAACTTGAAAAGTATTCACGACTGACTCGCTGGTAATTGAGAGATTTACAACTGACAAGAGAGTGAGAGCGAGCTTTTGCGCTCTCTTTCTCCATTGCTCTCTTTGTCTGCAATCAGATATCTAAGTGCACAGCGAGAAATGCACGCTTTAGGCACCCATACATCACAATCTAATTTGGACTCACACATTCAAACCGGTTTGCAAATATGATACACGTCCAAAGCGTACCAGACTGCTGTTTCCGTGTTGCTCCCGTCTGACGCGTGACTGCTGAAAGTTTCAATTACAACTAGTAATGCAAACCGTCATCTATTGTGGAAAATTTGTGGTATGTTTCAAGAGCTGATAGAAAGTCTGCTTGGCTTACACCAGGCATTTGACCATTCACAAACTTGCCACCCGCCAAACAAAAAACCCGCTTTTAGGTGCACTATTTAACGAGTTTTGTTATGGTAGTGATATCGACATGCTTAGAAATCAATGCATTAGGGATTAAGCAGACAATCTGAACTGAATTTAATCCTTTTTGATGCAAACCAAGGTCGAAGATTTAATTGAGTCACACTATAAAATAGTGTATTCATGATCACTTGTGGTATGGAGTAAAGAAGTACAGCTATAATGTGACCATAAACTCTATAAAAATCTTAACGCATTTTTTTTTATTATTTACACCTGTGTCGTGCACAGGTTGCACATGGTGGACGCGACGCACATGGTGAGCTACATGTGACACGTAAGTTTGTTATCATGAGCTAGCAAAAAAAGGTTGCTTCCACTGGCTTTGCTAATTGCTAAATTGTTTTTTTTTTAATTATGAAATCATTAGAAATTATGCCCGTGACCTGCCCTAATCCCGCGCTACACCTAATACCGGGGGTTCGTCAATAAACTGCGTGTGTAAATGTTGCGATTTATATTGACTTTTTTTTCAAAATAATCATCGCAAACATTAGCATATCGAGTCATCTTTACTAATGCATAACAAATTTCATAAAATCGATATTTTGAACCACCCTAACGTATAAAACAAAATGTCAATAGAATAAAAAACACAGATTTAGAGCACCGCCGTACCTTGTACTTCCTAACGTATGTTTTACATTCTGAATCAATTGAACAAGGGCAACGAAACAGAGATTGTATTCATGATGCACCGTGTTTGTTTAATATAGAGATGATTCAAAGTGTACACAATTTTTTGTTGTATAAATTGCAAATCAAATGTTTATGGCAAAATGTACCTATACAATACACAATCATATGACGCGTAAAGAAACATAAATCACTGCGTATTAATTTTTTGTCTAACTGATTTAAACGTGAAGCACAGACAAACAGACTCACAAATTGTTCATCAAACAAGCATTTAACAGTCAATTTGAAGTATCGTAGTTGGTAGTACCGTCATCTGTAGCGCGCATAGTTAATTCCCTTGCGTTTGACGTTTACACACTACCGCAATCTATTCAGCGTACTGTCCATCACAGTGTACTCAACAGATGGCGGTAATGTTTTAGCGACGATGTTTTACAGTGAGAAATATTCAATATGTTATGTCTGTTTGTCTGTAATACACTCATAAAATAAATCACAAAATATCCATGTGAATTTCACATAACTTTCATGTGATCTCATAATTGGAAATTGCACCACCAAATCACATGAACGTTATGTGTCCAATGAAATCTATATGATTTCTCATATAGAATTTCTAATGCTATGTGATATTCAGGTAAAAATCATTGTTTTTGTTTTTGGAAAAATACTATGTGCGTTCCTAATAGAAACTAAGTGAAAACTTTTTTCAGTGTAGGGCATGTCACGGCAATGAGCTGGATTACCGAGGTGAAGCAGTCGGTTAAGTTGTGTTGTAACAACCTGGTCTATACAAGGTGTGGAGATCTAGCCCTGGCGTATGTGTTGGTAGAGGGAAAAATGTAAACTTTGTGGGAGACGATGGTGACGACGTCATAACACTCGAAAGTAATTTCGCGAAATAAGAAGGAAAACAAATCGTAGCTATTTTTGCATGATGATTCTGCTTGCTTCTATTCTTTTGTAAAGTCTGCGGGAAATATCAGCTGCCGATTTGGTTTTTTAGATAACTCCTTACTTGGAAACAGGCAAAAACTCACAAATAGGCTGCTTTTTCATGGTATACAGTGTGATAATTTAATTATCATTAAAGTATCTCAACATTTAGTGGCAGACCATTTATAAATTTTGGTACCATACATAAATTCTAAAATCCATATTAAATTTCTTATATGCATGCGCCGATCGAAACAAACGTTATGACGTCACTACAAGGGTGATTGAGTGAACGAAAGAAACGAATCGTGCGAAGCGGAATGAAAGCCGAGTGAAAAACGAAGTGCACCAATACATTCAGGCCTACAATTCCACACCTTGTATAGACCAGGTTGGTGTTGTAAAACCCCTTTACGATACAAGCAATTAGTGACGTCACTAATTGCGTTTACGTTGATTTTTTGGATTACTAATACAACCATATTTCACGATCTGCTTCACCTCTCTCTGTATCTCATTGATGTCACGGTACTGATATTTTGATCTTGTATGTTACAAGAAGTGATCGTAAACAGAGCTGGTAAATATCTCGGCCGTCATGTGAGGATGAGAAAACAGAGGTCTTCTTACTATCACGAGACGAAACTACCTTCCATTAGCTTTCTTGTCATTTTTCAATCATCAAGCACTCATGAGAATAATTCTGATGCGGTGTGGACATCAACATTTCTAACTGATTAAGATGAATTTAAGCAAACAACCATATGTAATCGGTAGAGTGAATATATTATTAAGATTTCCTCGGTACAAGTAACTTTAATAGCATTAAATGACCTAGTAATTACGATGATCACAACACTGTCACGTTCTGTCATGACAAAATATTCGATGAGATTTTGAAGAAAATCTCTGTCATCGTTTTCTCATCCGATGATAGTGACAGAAGTATCTCTGTAAATATCGCGAGATCTTTAATTGAAAATGAAATTTGCCAGCCCTGGTTGTAAAGCATGTGTTTGACACACACACACACATAAATCCCGCCAATTTCACTATCCGAGAATCACAATCAGCGTCAGAGTGAACGCTCATGAACCATAAAATCGCTGATTGTGACTCTCTGAAAGTGAAATTGACAGGTTTTATGTGTCATAAACATACTTTTACCAGGCATGGAAAATCATTTACATTCATTTACATTCATTTGCTTTTAACTTTTCAACAGAATTCCGTAAAATAATGCAGGAAGCTTTTGTAGGTTTTTTGATTAGCTACAGCTTTTGTGAATCATTCAAATCTGTATGCACTCAACCTACAAAAGCTTCATGCATCAGTTTACGGAATTCTGTTGATGAAAAAAGTTGAAGATAAATGAATATAAATGAATGCTAGAAATGAATGTAAATTATTTTCCAAGCCTGTGCTGTACAACCTCTTATTGTATGTTACAAGTACAAAATATCATTAAAACATCTTATGATTTAATAATTCCGAAAAACATTCTTTATAGCGAAGCGAGTGGTAGCTCCAACTAGCAAACCTTTTTTGATAAGCGAAGCGTTAACAATATAAAAACTGAATAATAATTCTAAGCTTACCACTGGCGTATCCTGATAGCACCAATGAATCCGACGATTCATACCGTTTCAACGATGGACAAATTTGTTCACCAGAAAGTTTTATTAGTCCAACAGCAATGGAAATGAACACTTGCTCGATTCCCTAAAATACACACAATCTAGTTGATGCAAACTTTGACGCACGTAATGCCACAGTTTTCCTATCTACCTGATCCTGTAGTGCTGAAGTTTCAAAATAATTTCCTCCAATCGAGGTCGCGTACAGTGAGGCTTCTTCCCGGGAAACTGCCCGTTTCTCTTCCAGGTCGAGCTTGTTGCCAACTAGTGAGAGTACCATTGGCTCCTGTACATTCCTCTGGAGCTCCTGAACCCAAGTTTTGATTTCAACAAAGGAGGTGTACTGCGTGAGATCGAACACCAGCAAAGCCGCATTTGCATTCCGATAGTACAGCGGTGCCATCGCTTTGAATCGCTCCTGTCCGGCTGTATCCCAGACCTGCAATGGCAATTTAAAATTCTGGTACTACAAGTATTCTTTGAAACGAACGGTGTATCAGACATACCTGCATTTTGACTTTGAAATCCTCTAGATTAACTTTGCATGTGAAAAATGACGCTCCTATCGTTGGCGAAACTTCCTTTGTGTACACGTTCGAAACATATCTTACCACTAAGCTAGTCTTTCCGACACCTGAAACCGAGAATAGCAAAAATTAAGCTTTAATTGTTTACTTCATTGTTTTACTGGTTTGCACTAGATGCACATTCCGCATGTGCAAAATTAATCAAAGGTCGCTTGTGCTACAGCACGATTACCGTTATCTTAATGAAAGTAAATTTTGGCGGTCTGATAAAAATAAAAACTTTACCTACCAATACTTAACAATCTCTACTTCAAACAAAATTGTCACGTTTGTTATTCATGTGCATTTCAATCCTTAAATATACAATAACTGTTTTTTTTTTCGCTTCATTTGCTTGGAAATCTCTTTCTCAGTTCGCACCAGTTGAGTAACAGGGTTGTAAGTCCACTTGAAGATCTCGTGTCTGAAACAGTCCACAGTGTTGAAGCGTTTTAGGATGAACAGATTGTGACGACTGATGATGCGATAGCTGTAATTAAAACATCTTAGAACATGAAGCCCCTTGTCTTTGACAACATGCTTAACATTGGGTTAAAACATCTGGTAAAACAACTTTATCTTACCCTTGATTTCTAACAAGTGCTTCAAAAATGCCAACTTTCCATATTGCTGGTAACTATCTAAAGTTAAAAAAGAACTAAAAGCTACCACATGGAGAACTTCCTCTTTGGTCTATCGAAAAAGAACATTCGACTTTCCACCAAATTGTTTGTGTCACGGACATTATCAGGCGGAATAAAGCAGTTTCTAAAACCTCAGCTATATGGCATTCTTGGACGTCGAAAAGGAGTTCTAAGCGTGTAAGCTACAGCGATACAATTTTCCGATTTTCCTAGTGAAAATCATCAAAAACAAACTAGATCATTTCAGGCCCCCCTATACAACATCTGTTCTGAAATATTCGACATTGGTACAGGGGTGTCGAGCATCGCCTCGGTTCAACATTATTTAAAGTCAACACTTCCTGGTAATAGAGATTAGTGACGTTTAACGGACGCACACTAGCGGGGGCAACTAAAGCCCTACAGTAAAAGTATGGACGACTGTCACCACAAAACTGAAAAAAGCTGTTCCAATCGAGCAAAGCGGTGCATTTTGACGGTTCGATTGGAACAACTTTTGACAGACGTCCATACTTTTACTGTAGGGCTTTAGGGGCAACGCCGTGTAAAGTTTTTTATTATTTTCCTCTGGCTAACCTAAAAAGTGTATGAAAGTAGATCTGTCAAAATGAGTTTGACATCGATTTGTTAAGCTGAGTTTAGACTAGGCAAGTCAAATGATCAACTCAGTTGAATTCAACTGACTTGAACGCGAATTGAACGTGTAAACCATGTCATTCAACTGACTTGATCAACTCACTTGAATTGAAAAAAGTTGAACCAGACCCAACTTTTCAAGCCAATTGAATTCAACTGAGTTGATCATTTGACTTGCCTAATCTAAACCCAGCTTTATGTATTTTCCTCGGATATTCACTAACACGCTCTTACATATCGCACCAATACAACCGGACGTGAAAATCTCTATAGAGATTAGTGACGTTTAAAGCACGCACACTAGCGCGAGCAACGCCGTGTAAAGTTGTTTATTATTTTCCTCTGACTAATCATATTTAGCAGGGTTTTAATCATACAAATGCAAATCGCTAGCTTTCATGCTAAAAAATACGGGGTTTTGAGTCAAAAGTTATTATACGTCGTTTGGTGGCCCCTATTGTTACTTAAGTCAAAGTGTATTTACCAGGATATTCGGGAGAATTATCAATTACGTCTCCTTACGTGCAGCCCATTCATCATTTTAGGACTACCGAAATCATCTTAGCAACAAACAGTTCGATTTATTCACTTTAATAATGAGAAAGCGAAACGACGAACGTACACTTTTCACGGGTTTCTCAGCGCTGTTACTTAAGTCAAACGGCATCTCCATAGAAATTGGGTGACTTAAGTAACATCGAAAACTATTTTGATCGGAAGGTGATTACGTCAAAAAGCAATTTGACTGGCAAATAAATTTAAAAATGGGATTTGATCCTATATTCGGACAGTATATAGTGTAATAGCAGGAGAATCGATTGACACTGATAGCTCGACTTTGTTTACCTTTGTTACATTCGACGTAATGAAAATTTGCTCTTGATACAACGTTGAACTGCAGCGTTGAAAGAAAACACGCACACCAACATCTATGCATGTACGAACCCACACCATTGAGCGGAGGGTACAGTACAAATCAAAACACGAAGCGGTGTCATCACTCATCATCACTCAGCTCTGGCAGCTTCAGTTTGCGATTTCGGTGGCGTTGACAAATACCTTCTTTATAAAATAGGAATGTAATCATTATTCCAATGTAATTTTTTAATAGAATGCGTGCAGCGTTGGCCAAGGAAGATGGCATATTTTATTACAAAGCAATGATTTCAATACGTTGCGTTTTTCGAAGTATACTTCTATGCTTATAAAGATTATGTTGAGCAACAGATTCACAAATCATCAATTTTCGATTACTTTTTCGAAGGGACGTATCTGCTATTGTAAACAATGCATCTTACTGATACCGGTGGTGATATTGGAAACTCGTTCACTCGAAAGAAAAACATATTACAAGGCCAGCTTGGATGTGTCCTTGTATTCTCAAGCGTTTCTGTTGCGTATAACGTGGTAATCACGGTGTTTCGTGAAAACCCATTAATGGGTAAAAAAATACCCATTTTCAAACCATGTATGCAGCTGTCAAAAAATGGGGGAATTTTGAAATCCTAAAATGGGTGAAAAAATACCCATTTAAAGAATCAGTTCACGGTTGAATAATGAGTATATTTTTTACCCATTAATGGGTGAAAAAACACTTCGAAATTTTATCGTCTCATTTCCGTCACCGGCTCATTGGGAATGCAAACCTCGATGCAAACAGTTACTGTCCGCAGCAATGATCTCCGGAAAATGTTAGAATCCAAAACGTTGGAGAGGCTTACGGATAAGACAATACAATGGATAACTTGTATTATAATATTTCGTGAAAAATTTGAGCGGAACACCTGCATTTATTTTCAATGTTTTAAAAACATTTTTACATCAACGATCGCTTGCATCCTCCATTTGTAAAAATGGGTATTTTTTCACCCATTTTACGGTAAACACAATATAAGAAAATGGGTGAAAAAACACCCATTTATTGACAGACCACCCATTTACCCATTTATGAGTAAACCATAGTTTACCCATTAAATGAGGAGGGGCACTTTTAGCGGAAATGGGTATTTTTATACCCATTAATGGGTTTTCGCGAAACACCGTGATGATTGAAAACCGATACAATCGTAACAAAGTGAGAATTCTCGCGTCACTTTTCAAATAGACCAATGTAACATATCCACCATTTTGAGAAAATCGAAGTTGAAGTTCGACAGATTATTAATTTAACTGTTTAAAAACAATACATTTTGCAATACTATTTTTAATGTAGCCAGTGTATAATAAAGTTGACAATTCAGAAGAAACGGTAAAATCACAATTTTACTTTGAATTTCATGCTACAACATAGAAAAAACCACATAGGACGTTTTGACAAGTAGAGTTGTACATCGGACATGTTACATTCGACGATTTTTCTCAATGACATAATCAATGAGTGTTACATTGGACGTTTTGTCAACATGATACTAGATTCCCTTTCACAGATTTCAGAGTATAGTACCTACCTTTAGATTGGCCCCGCCTTTGAAAAATGAGCACCAATCATGTTAGGCAGTCCGAATGACCGAAGTAACAATCATGTACCCATCATTTCAAACTGTACATTGGACAATTTTTTACCTTTGATTATCTTAAATAAATGAAAGTGAATTTGGATGGATGTTTTTGTATGACATACAATGATAGAAGAGCAACAGTTTGTATCGCTTAACTCGGTTTGTTTACATTTGTTACATTGGTCGATTTGAAAAGTGACGCGAGAATTTTGCTATCGAAATATAATGATGATGACATCGATCATCTTCTTCCCTCGGCTGGCATCTGTCATACTGACACCTGTCATTTATTGAGCCCTGGTGGTGAAGTTATCGGGGGACTCCCCACAGTTTCAATGTGCACTCACTAGATGTCACTGCGATCACATAAGGGTGGTGTATCCATTGCCTTGTACGAGGAATTGATTAATGGGATATCTTGTTAATTAAATATCTTTGATATTGTGGTTGATTGCAAAAACTAGTTGTATTTGAGAAGCACACGAAACATAAAGGTGATTGAATTTCTGTTCGATTGCAATACTCTCAAATTTAATCTAGTAAGAATAAGAAATCCTCGGAAAAATTCTAATGTGAATGTACTGGCTCAGATTTTGACAGTTTATTTGGCTCAAAATATTCTCTCCGCCCATCTCTCCCTCTGAGCATTTCTACTTCAAACTATTAGAACAGGATTGTTTTTGTAATCAAAGAAACACATCTTAGTCCTTTTTACTTTTTATGCCTTGTTGATAGTGACAAGACTCGGCTTTGCCCACCAATGAAGACCTTTAAACAAGGAAAAAATTAGTTAGGTAGTTTTTTTTTCGTCCCAGAATAAACGCAGCAATCGGGTCTGGTGCACACACTCCTCCTTTTGCTTCACGTTTGGATACCTAGGATGGGTATTTTCGATGGCTTCGCTTGGCCCATGTCAAACCTTTCAGCAATCTTCCGGAAACTGCCGGAACACGTTTGAGCCTGAATTGTTTCGACAGATATTCGACGAGTATTCGACAGATCCTCTCGTATTCGTTGTTGTCGGGACTCACAATCAACATATCGTCGACGTACAACAATATGAACGATAATTGATTATCGATGCGCCGAACGTAGAGGTCTGCCTTGGATAGTTTGTACCCAAGCTGCTTCAACGTTTCCGTGATTTTCTGGTTCCAGACACGACCCGCTTGATTTAGCCCGTATATGCTACGCTTCAACAAACACACCTCCTCCCAAGGGGTAAGTCACTCAGCACATTGTGCCGAAATTAGATTCGACACAGCTGGGCACATCCATCGGCACAATCTC